CAAGGTAGAGGCGATAATTATGGTGGTTTTCGTGGTAGAGGTCGTGGCAGAGGCAGAGGAAGAGGATAATCTGGTGAATATAGGCAGAATAAGAGTTCAATTTGGTGCCACTATTGCATCAAACTTGGCTACAAAGAAGCTGATTGTTAGACTAAGCAAAACAATGTCAATAATCAAGCAAGTTTCGCAGAGAAGACAAATGAAGACAGTAAGCTTTTCATGGCCCATTTTTGTAATAACGTAGTCTCTAATGATGTTTGGTTCTTGGACAGTGGATGTTCTAATCATATGACGGGAACAAGATCATTGTTCAAGGAACTTGATGAGTCACAAAAGTTAGAAGTGAGGTTAAGAGATAACAAACAGATTCAAGTTAAAGGAAAAGGTACAATTTCCATCACTAGTCATGGTAAAGTCAAACTATTGAATAATGTATTGTTTGTTCCTAGTTTGACTCATAACCTGCTAAGTATTAGGCAACTAATGGTTAGTGGATATTGCATTGTGTTTGATGATGGGTCGTGTGTTATTAAGGATAAAAAATCAGGCCAGATTATTGCTACTGTTAAAATGGCTAGTAATAAAATGTTTCCACTTGAAGTTTCAACTGTTAAAGATTTTGCTTTGATAGCTAAAGGATGTAGTGAGGCTGAATTGTGGCATTTGCGTTATGGACACTTAAATATAAATGGGTTGACATTGTTGAGTTAAAAAGAAATGGTTTTTGGGTTGCCTAGAATTGATAATCTTGACTTCTGTGAAGGGTGTGTCTAGGGAAATCAAAATAGAAAGAGTTTTCCTGTAGGAAAATCTTGGAGAGCTTCCAGTTGTCTTGAGTTATTGCATGCTGACTTATGTGGGCCTATGAGTATTAAGTCTTTTGGTGGGAGTCGATATTTTTTGCTGATCACAGATGATTTTAGTTGCATGAGTTGGGTTTTTTTTCTTGAAATTCAAGTCTGAAGCTTTTGATAATTTCAAGAAATTCAAAGCACTTGTTGAGAAGCAAAGCAAGTGTTTCATTCAGACACTTTGTACAGACAGAGGAGGTGAATTTCTTTCAACTGAATTTAATGTTTTTTTGTGAGGAAAATGGAATTCACAGGGAACTTACTACACCACACACACCAGAGCAAAACGGTGTTGTTGAAAGGAAGAACCAGACAGTGGTTGAAATGGCCAGAAGTATGTTGAAAGCAAAAAATCTTACGGATAATTTTTGGGGAGAAGCAGTTGCAACTGCAGTGTACATCCTCAATATTTCTCCTACAAAAGTTGTCTTGAACCAAACACCATATGAAGCTTGGAAAGGTAGAAAGCTGCAGGTAAGGCACTTAAAAGTTTTTGGTTGTATAACTTATACTTTGATAAAATCACAGTCTCAAAAACTTGATAAAAAATACGAAAAATGCATTTTTATTGGTTACAGTCCACAATGCAAAGCATATAGACTGTATAACCCTGCAGTGGCAAGATGATTATTAGTAGGGATGTGGTGTTTAATGAAGATGCAAGTTAGGCCTGGAATGAAGATAAAAGGCAGCAGATTCAAGTTCCAAAAGATTCTGATGATCCACAAATGGGTTCAACACCAACAAATTTTGATTCATCCTCTGACTCTTCCAATGAAACTACTCCAAGAAAAACCAAATCCTTGAGGGAGATTTATGAAACTTGCACATTTGCTCTATTTACTTTAGATCCTCCATGTTTGGAGGAAGCTGTGAAAAAGTCAGAATGGTGTAATGCAATGGAAGAAAAGCTGCTGGCAATTCAGAAAAATTAGACTTGGGATTTGGTGAATTTGCCTGAAGAAAAAAAATGTCATTGGGCTCAAATCGGTGTATCGAACCAAATACCATGCAGATGGAAGTATATAGAAGCACAAGGCTCGGCTGGTTGCGAAGGGATATTCCCAACAGCAAGGAATTGATTTTGAAGAAACATTTTCCCCTGTTGCACTTTGAAGCGGTGAGAACCTTTTTAGCCTTGGCTGCTCAACTTAATTGACCTATCTATCAATTTGATGTTAAGTCTGCTTTTTTGAATGGTGAATTGAAAGAAGAAGTTTATGTCTCAAAACCTGAAGGTTTTATAGTTAGTGGCAATGAAAATAAAGTCTAGAGGTTGAAAAAAACACTTTACGGTTTGAAGCAAGCTCCATAGGCATGGTATGCAAAAATTGACTCCTATTTCAAAGAAAATGGATTTGACAGGAGTGACAATGAACCAACTCTTTATTTGAAGAAGGAAGGTAAAAATGACTTTTTGGTGGTGTGTCTTTATGTTGATGATATAATATATATGGGATCATGTGAGTCTATTGTTGTTGAATTTAAATCTTGCATGATGAAGAAATTTGAGATGTCAGATTTGGGTCTATTGTATTATTTTCTTGGTCTTGAGGTGAAACAAACTGTAGATGGAATTTTTATTTCACAAAGGAAATATGCTACGGATCTTTTAAAGAGATTTAATATGATAAATTGCAAAGTGGCAGCCACACCAATGAATGTGAATGAAAAGTTGAATCTTGATGATGGCATTGAAATGGCTAATGCAAAATATTTTAGAAGTCTTGTTGGTGGTTTGAATTATTTGTTTCATACAAGGCCAGATATTAGCTTCTTTGTTGGTGTAGTGTCTAGATTTATGCACAATCCAACCAAGCTTCATCTTGGCGCTGCTAAAAGAATATTGAGATATGTTGCGGGGACTGTTAAATTTGGAATTTGGTACTCAAAAGTATCATATTTCAAATAAATTGGTTATACTGACAGTGATTGGGCAGGTTGTTTAGATGACAGAAAAAGTACTTCAGGTCATTTATTCAGCCTTGGTTCTGGAGCAATTTCATGGAGTTCAAAGAAGCAGGAAGTTGTAGCATTATCAACTTCAGAGGCAGAGTACATTGTAGCAACTTCATCAGCTTGTCAAGCAGTATGGTTAAAAAGACTTCTTGCTGATTTTCATCAAGAGCAAGCTGGCACAACAAAAATCTTTTGTGACAACAGAGCAACTACTGCAATGACAAAAAAATCCAGCCTTCCATAATAGAACCAAACATATTGACCTTCATTATCACTTCATTTGAAGTCTGGTAACAAATGGAATGATTTCATTAAAGGCTTGTGATACAAATGAACAGGTCGCAGATGTTCTGACCAAGTCTCTCTCTCAGGCCAAGCACAATTACTTCAGATTGCGCATGGGTGTTTGTAGATTTGAATCTAAGGGGAGTATTGAAGAGTGATTCAAAGTCTTTAAGGGCAAATAAGTCTTTTGCTGGAGTTGAAATAGTCCAAGTGTTAGTTGCTATTAATTAGGTGATGTGATGAAAGAAGGTGCAATTAATTTTTTATGCAGTGCTTTAGTAAAATTAGGAGTCATGGAGTCATGGCTACGTGTGTAGCCTGTAAGCCTATAAAAGGGAATATTTGTTTTGTATTGATTGTGCAATTCAATTCCTCTTTAACAAGTATTATTATTTTTGCTGTTGTTTCCATTCACTACTTTATGTCCGTCTTCATCTAATCCAACATGCGAGAGTCGAATGTCCTTCATTCATCTCGCGAACTTCTCTTTGTAATCTCATTCAACTCTGTAACACCCTTCAATAATAGCATAACAGTGAATATAGATTTGATTTTTATACAGCTGAACCACTATAAAATCTTTTTTGTTCTTTATTTTATTATGACATTTTTGGTGACCTTGCTAGTTACTAAGAACCATGCATACATCTTACCTGATCCTTTTCGAGATCGGCTAGGTATCTCTGATTGATATGAACTATCACATCAACAGTTTTAAGTGTTTCATTCTAGGCTGCTGTTACAACTCTTAAATAGTTTGAACCTTTGCGGTTCTGCTATTTCTGCTAAGTAATAGTTTTGTGGTGGTGATGAAGATAGATGCTTCCAATTGTGATTTGCCAGGCAATGCTGTTTATTTTGTTCGAAGACGCCAATCTTCATAATTGATTGCAGGATAACATCATAAACCAATTAATCTAATCTAATTCATCTCATCCATCTACAACTACAAGTCAACCTCCAAATTATTATACAATTCTAAATCATAAACATTGTGATTACTTTCTTTAAAAACTAAACACGTATTAAAGAGGTCCGATTTTATTACATATTCAATTAGATTATGCGATTTAATTGTACTTGTGTTGTGCGTCATCTTTATATTGTAGTATATATTATTAAACTCAAATAACTGGAAAGTTAGCAATTGATGCTATAAAGACATCAAACTAAAGCCTGTGGCGAATGGGAAGGCCACATACTTATTAGATAAGCAGAAATAATAGAAATTTTTACCTTGCTGTAAAATCATGGGCGACGATGAATGGGCAAGCACTGAAACAATATAAGGTTCATTCTCATCAGTTGCACACTTTTGACTATAAAAAAATGTTGGAACCACTTAATACCTGAATGATTAGCATTTGAATAAGTTTATTAATGTAGTGATGCGCTTGAGATTCCAAATGTCTCCAGTAAACTTTTGATCACCGAATAGTCGTGCCAATCCATTGCTTGATGTACCCGTTACAATTAAAATAAATAGTCAGAAAGCTATAGCCTGTCCAGATCTTCTTATAGAAGAATCTTAATTAATTTCCTGAAGTTGGTCAGTGATTTGGAATATATAGTATAACTTACGTAGTTGCCCATCCAACGAAATAATTGCATCCATGAAAATATAAAAAAAGTTACTTTGAAAAGAAGTTATTGAAATTTTAATGTATAGAAGAGCCCATAAACTGTAGTATCAAAGACTAGAGCTGAATGACCGTTGAAACTACTGATTAATAAATAATAACTTTTTTCATGTTTAGCTCTGAATAGTGCAAAAACTTGACTCTTATCGTTTAATATTTTCTTAAATATGTACCAGACTAATTTAGCTGAAGGTCCATAATAATTGTATCCTTCCTTTGGTGAAAGAATTAGCTCCACCTCCAGTGAATCCTTAAACTTTGAGCCATGGAGACCTACATCTCAAAGCCACATGCGGTTCTAATATCAAATCCCGGTTTGGGGCACCTCATCCCTGTTCTGGAGCTTGGAAAACGCCTTGTCACCCTCCACAACTTTGAAGTAACAATCTTTGTTGTTGCGTCTCAAACATCAGCCGCAGAATCAGAGATGATCCAAGCTGCCACGAGTCCAAAGCTTTGTCAACTTATCGAAATTCCACCGCCAGATATCTCGCACCTTGTAGGCCCTGATACCGCGCTTGTCGCCATACTTGCAATCATGATGCGTGAAAGCAAATCAGCTTTACGTGCAGCAATATCTATATTGAAATCTCGCCCAACTGCGATGATTTTTGACCTCTTCGGAACTGAATCTTTTGAGATCGCTGACGAGCTTGAGATACCAAAGTACTACTTTGTAGCCTCGCATGCATGGTTTCTCGCACTCACTGTATATACTCCGATCCTGGATAAGTTGGTGCAAGGACAGTATGTTGATCAAACAGAACCGTTTGACATCCCGGGCTGCAAGTCTGTTCGACCTGAAGAGGTGGTTGACCCAATGTTGGATCGGACTAATCAACAATATTTTGAATATGTTCGCATGGGGACGGAGATCCCGCTGTGTGATGGGATTTTGATTAACACTTGGGAGGATCTGCAGCCGAAAGCACTGGCTGCACTGAGAGATGATAAACTTTTAGGTGGAATCATTAAGGCTCCCATTTATACTGTTGGCCCGATAGTGAGGTCCCTTGCACCTACTGACTCCAACAAAGAACTCTTTGATTGGCTAGACAAGCAACCAAGTGATTCAGTGCTTTACGTGTCACTGGGGAGTGGAGGGACGCTGTCATATGAGCAAACCATTGAGTTGGCTTGGGGTTTGGAGTTAAGCCAACAAAGATTTATTTGGGTGGTTCGGCGGCCAACAGCAAAGGGAGACGGCTCGTTTTTTACGGTGGGAAGCGGTGGTGATGATGAGTTATCAAGCGTCCTGCCTGAAGGATTCCCGAACCGGATCAATGAAGTAGGAAAATTGGTCCCAAACTGGGCTCCGCAAGTGAACATCTTAAACCATCCATCAGTTGGAGGATTTTTATCACACAGTGGGTGGAATTCAATAATGGAGAGTATCAGCAATGGAGTGCCGATGATCGCATGGCCATTATATGCAGAGCAGAGAATGAATGCTACCCTGTTAACGGAGGAGCTTGGCGTCGCCGTTCGACCCAAGATACTGCCATCGAAGAGAGTGGTTGGAAGGGAGGAAATAATGATGATGGTGAGAAGGATTATGGTGGATAAAGAAGGGCATGCAATAAGGGATCGGGCAAAAGAGCTAAAACACGGTGCAGAGAAAGCATTGAGTTATGAGGGTGGATCCACTTATAATTCATTGTCTCTGCTGGCCAATAAGTGCAAGCATCCATGAAAATTACTGAATGCAGTTAAGTCGATGATGGAGGGAGTATCATGTGTGTGTGTGTATATATAATTTAATTACTTAAGGCGTTGGAATTAGCTTACGTGCAGCTCATCTAATCCCTTGGAGCCCTAGAACTACCGGTTAGATAAGAGCTCTAATGATCACATCTATTAGCAACCAAGGAGGGACTCGAACTCATTAGGACCTCTTGAGTAATATACCCAAGAGAGCATATCGAACAACTCGGTCACCCAAGGGCAGGTTGTGCAATATATTTGTTCATTGTGTCAGTTTTTGTTTTTATTTTATTCAATAATAATTTTTAATATATTTCTGTTTTTGTGAATTGCTAAAACTGTTGAAGTGCTATGTAATCTTCCATGTACATGAGGAATGCTAGTGCTGAGTACTCACTATTTTATAAACATTTGCTCTGGTTAATTGTTTCATTCCAATATTTTTATGAATTGATCGGCAGAACAAAATAAAAATATTGGAATACAAAGCCTATACGCATGCATGAAAAAGTAAGCTGCAAGTTTTGAGGAGAGCAAATTGAAAATTGCTGTAATTTTCATTTTTCATTTCTTGTATTGACATATGTGACAATCTGCGCTACTCTATCAACAAAATTATACCATATGGAGCCATTCGAACATGCCAAAATGCCCAACAATTGATATTTTATGGTAATTATCTATGAGCTTATATTATGTCAGAACAGTTATATCCGATTACTTTAGAAACAAAATTGTGCAAACATGGAACATGACCCCCCGATGAACCTTGCGAGTTGTTTCCAAACTAACCCGACATCACATTCACAGATGAGCAAACTTATCTTTAGTAAGTCTCTGCTTATCTACCTTTCTTTGGATATTAATTTCCTGGTCTCCTAAAAGAAACTACCATGGATATTTGACCAGGGAGCCTCATGCTGCGCTTCTTTCTAGCCTGAACACCAGCCATATAACATCTGTCCTCGAGCTTGGCAACCCCCTAGTCGCCTGACTGAACCAGTATAGGCTCCACGTTACGTTACTATATTTTTGTTGTCTAACGGATACTTCAATTACTTGCGACTTGCGAGACGTTAGTCTAACAAGTGCCCACAAGTCCACTTAATCTCTGTTGAAGTCTGAATCAAAATAGTCTTTTTAGTTAGTCTTTGGTTATAGGTTGACAGAGTTTTTATGATGTGTTGTTTTCTATAGTTATCTTGTTCCTATTTCAATAATACTCACACAGAAATATTACATAGATTTTTATATAAAGTAAGGTGATAAAAAATAAATAGAAAAATAAAATAAAATAAAAATTTTATTATATTCATTCTTCCATTGATTTTTATAGAGATATTTGTAAATAAATAATTTTGCTCTTTCTATTTTTATGATTATTTGTCCTCTAGCTCTTACTTTCTTTAATTACTTGTCTTTCTCCACCAAATACAACAATGTCATCGAACTTGGTCACTTTGATATCGAATCGCTAGTAAACCCAGATGCAGCAGTCAATATTCAAGTAGCTTATCATAAGGCGAGAATCTGACCCAATACCCCAATTTGTAATTGCTTTCATGAAAGTCAATCCAAAGGTTCTCATAGTAGACCTGTTCAAATTAGAAGGGTTTAAGTCTTTAAGATTGCCAACCAGTTTTGACAAGTTAAAATATATCTTTCAAAGTTCTTGATATCCAAGGTTGATGGTATTTTGGTGAACACGTGGTGTGGGATGAGTTGGAAACCGCAATGCTTGAAGCCTTAAAAGATGACGAAATTATTTAGCCGGGAGATTAAATTTAAAGGTACGCATTTATCCCATTGGACCGATGGATAGACTAGTCAAACCTGCTTCTTTGGTGGAGTGAGTTGCTTGGACTTTTGTGTTTCATTGGTGGAGTAGTAGGACCCTCTCAACTCTCAATGCTGCAGATATTGGGGGTTTAGATTTTAGCAGGCAGAGATTAAATTGGGTGATACGTCTAGCTGGAAACACTGCAACCAATTTTTATGGGCCATTGGGCCCAATTCACAATGTAGCAAATGAAAAAGATAATAGGAGAGAAAATGAAAAGGATAAAAAAGTTAAAGATTTATTAATTAATAATTCATTTTTGTAGGGCCAACATGAATTTAAGCAGGGTCAAAATTATAAATTTTATAAAATATAAAAACTTTTTTTTAAAAAAAAAAAAATTGAGTGGGTTCAATTGAACCCACATGTTTGTATTTTGCTGCATGCCTGCTCATGATGCACTTTTTATTGAATTATTTTGTTTTAATTAATAAGAATATGCATGCCTGCATCTATATTCGTCAAGCTGCATGATCTAATGAAACAAGGTTTGACCCACATAATTTAAAATCATATTAACGTATATGCCGGCACCACTGTGGAAAACTTTTAACAGCTCAATCAAATTCCTTACGGTGCTTTGACTTTGTGTATATATATAATAAACATGCGTGAGTTTACACTTCTGCGTATCGGCATGAATCGTGTGGTTTTTGATCACTTCCTGCTGCATGGATGGACAGGATCGGACATATATACACACTACAGTTTTGTCAAATTAATAATTCATTCTGGAACAAAAGTGTCTGAGTTTTAAGCCCTAAACTTTAGAAGGTAACTTTTATTTGATTTAAGTCTTGTCAATCTTAGAAAAACTCATTTAAAGTATTATTATTCTCAAGCAAATCAATTTAAAGCCAGATTTAACACAAAATTACTTTAAATCTTAAGTCGCTTGGTATAAAAAACTTCATCAAACCTTCTTTTCTCAGTAAAAATGTCTAATTTTAGGTATCATACATAGGCACACCTATTCTTTCAAATAAATGTTTTTAAAACCTCTGTTAAAATTAAGCAAACTGGCCAACTGATATAACTGCAATTTGTATTTGAACTTTGAAGGGGTCAAAGAACATTGAATACGTTTTAAGAGATGAAATTGTTAATAATTATACATAAATTTAAAAATTAATTTTTGTAGGAGATGAGCAGCTGGCCTATGAATATTTGACCACTTTCCCAAAACTTAAATTTCAGTACACGTTTGGGATTTCAATGTCGTCATAACAATCCAATTAATGAAAAATTGGCCATGTGCTGACTGCCCTGTATCATGTGATTCTGTAATTCATAATTCAAACAGCATAAAATACAGTATTATCTACTGACATCTAAATTAATGTCGAGATTTTGGAACTACTAGCCAGTAGCCACCACCGGCCGGGCCCAGATAATCTTAAATAAAAGGGTGATGCCGGGTCCAGATAATCTTAAATAAAAGGGTGATGAACGCTAACAATTACATTTATCCACATCGTTTACTCAAGTAACCGCTTCTAAAAATCTCAATTGAAGTTCCGTTGGTCCCAGCTCCATTTCAAAGTCTTGCACAATGCAAATCGCGAAACCACATGCAGCCATACTTGCAAGCCCCGGCATGGGACATCTTGTTCCTGTTCTGGAGCTTGGAAAACGCCTTGTTACCCTTCACAACCTCCAAGTCACCATCTTTATTGTGGCTCCTGCCACTTCAGATGAACAGTTATCTCAACTTCTGGATTCACAAAATCAAGATTTCCTCCACATCGTCTTACTCCCGTCAGTGGACGTCTCTGGCATAGCCGATGCGGAAGCATCAATATCAACAAAGATTGTAATTATGATGCATCAGTCCTTGCCACTCCTCCGATCTGCGATTTCTGCAATGACAATACGTCCGACGGCTCTGATTGTCGACTTGTTTGGAACTGAAGCTATGGCGATTGCTGATGAATTTGAGATGTTGAAGTACGTATTCATTGCGTCTAATGCCTGGTTTTTTGCTGTTATAGCATATGCTCCAGAACTTGATAGAAAGGTGTTAGCTGAACACGTTTACCAGCAGCAACCGCTAAAACTCCCTGGTTGCACGCCTATCCGGTTCGAGGATAACCTTGAGGTCTTTCCGGCCTTTGAGAATCCCATGTATGATGGATTTATGCATGCATCAATGGAGATGGCATTAGCCGATGGAATTATAATAAATACGTGGGAGGATTTAGAGCCCAAAACACTAAGAGCCCTGAGAGATTCTAATTTGCTGGGACGCGTCTGCAAGGCACCTGTTTATCCTGTTGGTCCATTGGCAAGATCGGTTCAACCACCGATTTGGAGAAAGGAAGTACTGGATTGGTTGGACAAGCAACCTAGAGAATCAGTAATATATGTCTCGTTTGGAAGTGGTGGAACATTATCAGCAAAACAAATGGTAGAGCTGGCATCGGGTTTGGAACTAAGCCAACAAAGATTCCTTTGGGTGGTACGTCCCCCGTTTGAGAATGATGTATCGGGGTCGTTTTTCTCTGTAGGGATAAACTCTTCCAGTGTTCAGGAGTTCTTACCGGATGGGTTTTTAACCCGGACCGAAAACGTAGGACTGGTGGTACCTATGTGGGCTCCTCAAGCAGAAATCTTGGGACATCAATCTGTCGGTGGATTTTTGTCACACTGTGGATGGAATTCAACAATAGAAAGTATAACTAATGGGGTCCCAATCATCGCATGGCCACTATACGCAGAGCAGAAGATGAATGCTACGTTGCTGACAGAGGAGCTTGGGGTTGCTGTGCGTTCAAAGGAGTTGCCGTCAGAGAGTATAGTGGAGAGACATGAGATAGAGATGATGGTGAGAAAGATCATGGTCGACAAAGAAGGGCATGCTACAAGGAATAAGGTGAAGGAACTAAAACTCAGCGGTGAAAAAGCTTCGAGTAAAGGTGGTTCCTCCTATAATTCACTTTCCCAACTGGCCAATAGCTTCCAGAGTTTCCTCCAAACTTTGGAAGTAAAAGCTAAAGGTGGTTAAAACGAAAAATCTAGACTTGAATGGGTTACCACGTTGTCCGCGTACCAAAATTGAATAAATTTGCCACTTCATAGTTCTTTGTACTAAATGTATTTGGAAGTTAATAAATGCAATAATGAAATGACATCTAGTGTTACAATGCAAAAGTACGTCGTGATTCTATATATTTTTTTGGTTAAAAAATCTCTCAATTACCAATTAAGGTACTTCTAACTAGTATTTCCTTTATTTATGTTGCCAGTAAGTTTAATTATATGGTGTATGCATTTTTTTTTTTTTTTATCAAGAGTGTTCAAACTAGTTTATGGGTACTTCAATTAATCTTTTAAGACTCTAAAATTATCAACCGGATAAGAATTCCAGTAACTACCCCCATTAACATCCAAAAAAAAACTTGAATTGAAAACCTTTTAAATAATACATCCAAAATCCCCTATCTCAAAAATATAAAAATATAAATTAAAGAATTTTATGTTTTTGTTTCTGACGAAGACTAGTCGACCTGTGTGACTGTCCAAGCGAATCTCCAGTTCATGTGAAACGTTGTAATTAATTCGCAAAAATTTGACTGTTGGTATTTATGTCAGAGATAATTAGTTGTATATTTTAACGATGGATGTTGCATGTGATATCTGATATTTACAAATACATAATTGATATGAATAAGTCAAGGTCAATCTGCACAACTAAATTTTACAAAAACATAACTCATATGAATAAGTCAAGGTCAATCTGCACAACTAAATTCGTCCTTTACAAAGTGGACATTTGCAATTTCATTGTCATTTTATTGGGATAAGGACGATGATCGTCGGCTGCAGGGACGTCATTGCGGTATCACTCTAAATTGTCAACCAAAACGACACGTTTTTGTTGGCATGGACTCTTTCAACTATCATTTTAAATATTAAATATCTACACTACTTTGATTGCATGCATTTATAAATGTTCGCGTGGAACATTATTTAATGAAATTCTCATTATTTACTTCTTATTCTAAATATTTAATTAATTAAGCTATTGATATTATACCTTATTCTATGTTTTGATGAATGATTTTTTTTTCCCAATCTTAAATGGAGGGCTTCTGGCTTCATTGGGTTCATATAACAGTAACAACTGACCTATGTTTATTGGTTAAGGAGCTTTCTTGGGCTCATATAAAACTTCTCTTTGAAGGCTTCCTTGGGCTCATATAACAACTCTCTTTGAAGGCTTCATTAGGCTCAGTGGGCCCTCTGTCTATGTGTCACTTATTCTTTTAACTTTCAATAAATTTCCGAGTTTAGTTGAGGTTTATAAAAAAATAAATGAATATAAAAAATTAAATAATTGGAAAATTGCCCTGCTTTGCTCTTTTGCGTGTTTCCTATTTTTAAGAATCCTAACAATAGACCAAGGCACCAAGCCATAGATTCAATTTAGAAGGGGTATTTTAAATTAGACTATATATATAAATATATATAGAAAATCTTAAACATTCAAAGAGATAATATTTTATGCATACAAAATTAACGATATTTAAAACAATATCTATATCGAAAGTCAATAAGACGTATATATTTGTAGTAAAAACATTATGTATGATAGATCAGGAAAACTTAATTTAGTCAATAAATTTTGGTTATGAAAATTAATTAGCTTGTCGTGAACAATAGGTTATGGCATCACCCATGCGCTTGGTTTACTTGACCTTTTATAGTTTTACTGATCGGGACGTATATACCATTGACTTGTATTTTCCAGGTTTCTTTCGAAGGTTGGATCTTTTAAGTAGACCAAATGAAGAGGACAGTGAGATAATATTAATAATAAGAACACTTTTTCCCATCCAAGGTTTGTTTTAATGATACTTTTTCACCTAAAAAGTTTCAAAATATTATTTTTTCATCCAAAATTTGTATTACGTTAATATTCAAAATACACTTCACTTTCTCAGTCAACGTTCAGTGAGTTTCCAAGAGCCACTGTAAAAGGGGTTTTATAGAGCGTAGACTAATAGATCAAATGGTGGTGACCAATTAAATATTTGCTATTGAAATTAGTTAAAAATCAACTAAGAATAGAAAATTTTAGCTTTGTGGTGATCGATAATCGACGAGAAATCAGATGTCAGAGTGAGAAGAGTTTTGTAGAGAAGAGACCAAAGGTTTAAATGATGATGGCAAAGAGAATTTTTGCAATCAGAATCTGATTTGAGTATTAACAAATTGTAAATTTTGGGTGAAAAAATGATATTTTAAAATATTTTGGGTGAAAAATTGCCATTAATACCTTGAGTGGGAAGAAGTCGTTTACTCTAAATAATAATGTTGCCAGAGTTGAAACATTGTTATGAATTTGATATTTTCAATATTCCAACGCCTAGACAATCTTGAAAGCCGCCATATGTATATATGTTATTCAAAGTACAACTCCATTAATGATCTTAAATATATACGTCATTGATGCGGCCAGCTTTTTTTTTAATTCTTTTGTGCCGACATCTGTTATTTATTATTTTTGCACCGAAACAAGGACGGAGTTCATGAGGTTTTAGCCAAGGAGTAATACCATCAGCTGGCGGCTGACAGCTCGTTTTTCTTTTTATTTTGTGGAATTCGGTGACTTCAATAGAAGCATTGAAACATGACATCTATCAACGGAGAAGATGATCAGTTGATCACAGATTACAAGAGCACTGTGAAGTGTGAACACTAGTTAAGTTGATAATGCTCAATAGTCCTCTTCCGTTTTTGGTGAGTTTCTAAAAACAATGGTAGGATTACGTTGTTGATTGATTAATAAAATCACAAAAGGTTACATCCACCTCCAATTAATCCAAACTATACGGGTATTCCACTTATAGTCTAGATTATTTTTTTTATTCTGTCTCAAAAGGACTCAGAAACCTGATGTTAATTAATAAAATGAGATTGGATGTTGGAACAACCATCCAATCTTTTTCTAACAAAATATATGTAATACGTTGAGCAAATCCATTATTTCGATTTTTTTTTTCTTGGTTAATTATTATATAAATCTATTGGTCAACTTCAGTTTAGCTCTTGGGTAAATAAATGGTAATAAAAAAGGCATTCCTCCCTAAATAATGCAAACTGCCAACGTGTATTGAATTTAAAACATGGCCTCCCACATGATGCCTATATCGAAGACTTCATTTACTATTTTAAAAGGTCCTAATTAATTTTATTTTGCTTAACAATATATATATTCCCTATCAAGCCGATATTTGTGAACGGCAGTTACCATACACCGCCAAAACATACTTGGACTACCACAACATTAATTAATAGCTGCAAATTGTTGATCATGCGAAAGCAGGTAATACTGCCACTAGTCAAACTGCTAATTTAGATTATCTTTATTTAAAATAGATAATCATGTATGAAGGGCTAGCTAACAAATGGACCATCATTTTTTTTTTTTTTTTCTAGTATATTATTCTGGAATGGCGACGGACCAAGGTAATATTTATTTAATACTCAATATAAAAGAAAAAAAATCATAATTATACATTATATTAAGATATAGATGTGATAAGATCTTTAGTAGCTCAGAATCAAGATCCTATATCCTCGTATGATTTTTACATAGAAAATAATGGTTTAACCCGTTTAAGTTAGAATGGAAGTATGTAAGCTTTAGGAGTATTTCTACATGAGAGGGATTTTGTCTTATAGGTTGTTCATCAAGTATCCATGTGACTCTTAATTCTTAAAAGAGGTTTTTCTTCTTCCCGAGACGGAGTCTTCGATCCAAGGAAACACGACAAAGACTGTGCTTTCCAATATCAGAGTTTGTTCCACGTTGAACCGCTAATTTCTTTTCTCTCATAATGCGTGCAAGACACCCGACAATTGCGGATGAGATAGAGATTGACAGATTGGAAACTCAGTTTAAAGTGTTTGTGCTACATGCAATATTAGAATATGTTTGTGATAATTCAGAAGAAACTCGAGACTCAAAAGAGCCTCTAGAAACGTTTCAACCTTGTAGTATGTAGAAAAGTTTCGAAAGGTCAAAACATTCCATCACATAAGTGATAATACTAAGTAATGATCTAAATCAATGTATCGTCATTTTGTTTTTAATTAAGGTCAAAAGTTTCGAAAGGTCAAAACATTCCATCACATAATTAATAATACTAAGTAATGATCTAAATCAATGTATCGTCATTTTGTTTTTAATTAAGGTCAAAAGTATGTAGTATGTAGATAAGTAATGATCTAATTAAGCAAGGATTAGTATGTCAGAATTGAGAGGGTAAGAAAGACAATTTAAAGAAAGTTAGAGTATGTTCGAAAGATATCTTTGAGAGGGCAAGAGAGATATTTAAAAGGTTGAAATATGATCGAGAGATATCTTTAGATGAATTCAATTGTATCGTACTGAATTATTTTAAACTGTGAATATACCACCTATTTATACAAAAGTTAAGTTATGCAATAAGGAAACAACATAATGTAATTACAATCAATCAATGAATTGATTGATTGAGTGGTTTTGGGTGATTGGTGTAATCTTAGTGATTAACCACAATCATGACATTCATATTTCATCAGTTTGTATAATTTAAAAAAAAAAAAAAATAGTTGGTTCTATTATATTGGGGCGTTTAGATCATATAATGTTTTATATTAATAGAAAGAAATATCACCTTGAAGATTATTGGGAATGTTTAAAAAATGTGTTTGGTTAGTTTGAATAAATTGATAAATAATATGTTTGGTTGAGAGGACAAATGGGTGAGTATATTATATAGATTACTAAATTGCCCTCCTTTTTAAATATTAATATTAATAGTATTTATTATTATTATTTTTTGAATCATTTCTTTTAACCCCTTACATTTGAAATTTTGCTGAAACACTCTAGCCATGTAAAACTTTAATTTGTAGTAAAATCATCCACACCCACCCCAAGCCACTGCCGGCAGCTAGCCACTATTGTTGGCAGTCGATAGAATGGCGCACGACTGATCGTATATGGTTAACAAGGCGCTAGCAAAGCCGAAAATGGTCATGGATCATAAATCCACGGTCGAAAAATGGCTAGATTTATGGCCATTTCACAACCAGATTTGTGGTCGTTTCATGGCCATGAAACGATCATAGAAACGTCAGGTATGACCATTTCTGGTGCATGACCGGCCAGATCCCACAAATCGTGCACCATTACGGTGACTAACGCCGGCAGCCGGTGGTGGTGAGTCATGGTTGGTGGTAGTCTTGGGTGGCTAAGGGTATTTTGTTAACTTTTATTTTATTTTATTTTATTTTTTTTGCTGGGGTGTTTTGGCTAATTTCTCAAATGTAAAGGGGTTAGGTAATTGTTGTTTGATAGACATTTGAAGGCAATTGTGTCCGAAATGATTTTTAATTAAGGATAAAATTGATAGAAAAATCAGATTATCCTGCTAATGTTTTAATCTTAGGGATGGGAAAGGGTATCGGATTATCCCTCACATTATTAATAGTAAATATTATTTATAATAAAAAAAATTTATAATATTTTATTACTTATAAACTAAACACCAGAATATATAAACGGAGATTCCCTCCCCCCCCCCCCCCCCCCCCCCCCCCCCCCCCCCCCCCCCCCCCCCCCCCACCCCCCCCCCCCCCCCCCCCCCCCCCCCCCCCCCCCCCCCCATTATTATAATAAAAAAATTATAAATTTTATTACTTATAAACTAAAACCAGAATATATAAAATCCCTCCCCCCCCCCCCCCCAAAAAAAAAAAGCTATAGTGATATTTATAATATAACATTGTGATGAAGCGGTACAGTCATCCTTTAATAATTTAGGTATTGTGCTGGCTTTATAATGTGGGTAAGTGGTAAATGGTAATGGCGCGCCCACGGCAGGGAACAGTTGTATTGAATTAGTCTCAGACGAAATTTCAAAAGAAGTTCAATTTTTACGTTCCACGCATAAAAATAGTGATAGTGGTAACGTGTATGACACATGTACTGTAATTTGTAAAAGAGACAAAGTTTTTTTTTTTTTTCTTTTCTAATAAAAGATCGTAACATAAATTGTATATAAAAAACATATATTTTTTAAATAAATAATTAAATATTCAGGCAGATTGACGAATTCATAGGCACCATTAAAGCAATAACTTCAGTTATAAATATCTCTTAGAACTTGGCATCTGAACGAAGCCATTCAAAACCTTGCTTCCCGTCAAGCGTTATTTTCCCCTCTGAAACTCTTAACTTCCAACTCTATGGAGGTGCAAACAACAAAAATTCATGCAGCACTACTTGCTAGCCCTGGGATAGGACACCTCGTCCCAGTGCTTGAGCTAGGCAAACGCCTTGTAACTCAACTTGATTTCCAAGTAACCATCTTCGTTGTGGGAGCTGAGCCCTCAGTTCTTGAGTCCCAGCTTCAAAACTTCCCCAAGTCAAGTATCTTCAATGTTGTCTCACTCCCGCCCGTCGATATCTCAGGCCTTGTTGACCCTAATGCATCAATAGTAACAAAAATTATCGTTATGATGCGTGAGTCCGTACCAGCCCTCAGATCCCAAATCTCGGTATTGAAGCTTCGTCCCACGGTTCTCATCGTAGACTTGTTTGGAACAGAAGCTTTACCGTTGGCTGATGAGTTGAACATGTTAAACTACGTGTTAATTGCTTCTAATGCATGGTTTCTTGCAGCAACAACATATTTTCCTACCATTGATGGGAAGCAGGAAGATGAGCACATTATCCAACAAAAACCGCTAATAATTCCAGGTTGCAAACCGGTTCGCTTTGAGGATACCCTGGAGGCCTTTTTGGTAAAAAACGATGAGTTGTATGTGGAGTATCTACGTATAGGGCTTGAAATACCGGCGGCTGATGGAATTTTGGTCAACACCTGGGAGGACTTGGAGGCCAAAACACTTCAAAGCATGAGAGATACCAAGATGTTAGGCCGGGTCACCAGGATTCCGATTTATCCAATTGGTCCATTAGTGAGAGAGGTGAAATCACCAGCTTTGGAGAATCCTGTATTGGATTGGCTAGACAACCAACCAACTGAATCAGTGATTTATGTGTCATTCGGAAGTGGAGGCACCTTATCAGCTAAACAAATGACCGAGCTGGCATGGGGTTTGGAGCTAAGCCAACAAAGATTTATTTGGGTGATACGCCCTCCAGTGGAAAATGATGTAACTGGGGCCTATTTCAGTGTAGGAAAAGGATCAGATGACACTCCGGATTATTTGCCTGAGGGGTTCTTGACACGCAACTCAAAACTAGGATTAGTGATCCCAGACTGGGCTCCACAGGCAGAGATCTTGAGGCATCCATCGGTTGGTGGAATTTTATCGCACTGTGGATGGAATTCAACAACAGAGAGTATAGTGAATGGGGTGCCAATGATAACTTGGCCACTCTACGCAGAGCAAAAGATGAATGCCACAATGCTCACAGAAGATATTGGGGTGGCTATAAGATCTAAGAAGTTGCCGACGGAGAGTATAGTGGAGAGAAAGGAGATAGAGACGCTGGTGAGAAGTATTATGGTGGAAGAAGAAGGAAATAAAATAAGAAGCAGAGTAAAGGAACTAAAATCCAGCGCGGAAAAGGCCTTGAGTAGAGGTGGTTCCTCCTACAATTCATTGTCACGAGTTGCCGAAGATTGTGAGAAAAGCTTGCAAGGCCTGGTAGCAAGGGCCCATGGTGCATGAACCATTCAAAGAAATTCATTTGTTAACTACATGATGTGTTGCGTTGAAGAAGCTGTTTGATTTGGTCTTATGCAGACTGTTATGTTATGTATTTTGTTGGGAAGAAGGAAATGGATGTGACGTTCATGAATAAAAGATGTTGTGTTTATCTTAATTAAGTATGATTAGAATTAACGAAGCTTGTCGTCAAGTACTTATTTGTTATGTAGCGCTTTGCAAATGGAGGCAAATATTGTACAAATCAAGTTATATGCCAAATTAAAGGGCGGCAGATTCCGAGCAGAACACCAAAAAGGCAAAATCTGATATGCCTATTCGGTTGATTACATTTATATTCCTGAGGTTTTGGGAAAATATATTTCATCCACTGGAATTAGTAAATGACATAATAGTCCCTGTCAGTGTGAGACAACTATTATTATAGTATTATCCATTATTAAACGATGTATAGGTATTTTTGGGTGCGTTTGGTTTAATATTCCAATCCATATTCTCAATCTTATTCCCAAAATATTTGTTTGTTTAATTATTTAAGAAATATTAGTATATTTTTTAATTACTTTTAGACCCCTTAAGTTTATTAATTTCATAAATACCCCTAGAAAAAAGTTTAAAAATTAACAAAAATACCCCCACCCACCCATACTTGCCAGATTCCAGCAACCACCGTCAGTGGTAATCGGAATCTGTCATAACGGCCTACAAACGACCGAAACTGGCCGATAATTCACCGATCTGACCGAAAAATACCAGATCTGATGGCCAAATAAATGGCCATCGTTTACTGACAACGACGGCCATATCTTTGGCCGTCTCTGACTGCCAGATCTGGACTTTTACGGTCATCAATGGCCAGATCTACCTGTCGATATGGCCTTTTCCAGATAGATCTGTGGTGGATCTAGCCGGAAAAGGCCATATCGACACCCTACTCGCTAGATCTGACCGGTCTGCGTCGTAACGTCATTTTTCAGCTAGATTTCGACGGTGGTGGCCGGAATCTGGCACTGTGGGTGGGTGGGGGTGTTTTTGTTATTTTATAAACTTTTTATATATTGGGGTGTTTAGTTAGATTAGCAAACCTAGGGGGTTTCTTTGTTAATTTTTAAATTTTACCTCGTAATACTCCCCTATTCAACTACCTAATATTATTCTCAAAATCCTATCCAAAATAACAAAACAAACAGGCTCTTCGTCTTTTACCAAAAAAAAAAAATATTCTAATACAAAATAAATTTAAAAACATTTTTTTATTTTTATTTTATTGAAAACCTAATAAATTTAAAAATATAGTAAGTATGAACTCGCCATACAAACACGGCAGCACCAACCTGACGCAATAGAGTCACCCCAAAGCAGCACACCGCACCCAAGATCTCCGCAAGTCTCCCCGCCCCACCCACCTAAACCCCACACATCATAGCCTCGCCGCTAACCTCTCATCACCAAATTTAATGACCACCCTCAACTTAAAAACTAGAATTTTTTTTTTTTTCTCTATTTGGACAAACCTCAATGATACAAAGAATTTTTATTAATGCAAAAATATTCACATATATAATTATGGGAGATATAATGAGTATTACCTTTCAAAATGTTTATATATATATCTTGTCATATAAGTAAGATTTCCTTATTAATAAATGAATAAAAGAAAAAAGAAAATTCAATTTTAAATGTTAACGCTGAGCAAATCCATTATTATTATCATTAATATTATTTTTTGAGTAGTTGCTATATAGCTCTATAGGTCAACTTCAGTTTAGGTCTTTGGTAAACAAGTGTGATAATTAAAAAAAAAACGTTCCTCTTTCAATAATGCAAACTGCCAACATGTATTGAAATTTAAAACTTGGTATCCCACATGATGGTTGTCGGTGCATGTTATGGGCATATCGATCAAAACCCTTATATGATAGGGTGTCCTAAGTTAAAGGCCTTTTACTAGACTCCAAACAACAACTTCACACGCAAAGATGAACTGCCAAAACATCCATGCACAACCACAACAATTAATTTGTAGCTGCTAAATGGTATTCGCGCAAAAGCAGGTAGTACTTTATTTAATATAGATAACCATATATGAACAGTTAGGTAGCAAGCGGATCATCAAATTTTATTTTCTGATGTATTATTATGGAATATGGATGGACTATGGTAATAGACATTCCGTATTATTTAATGAAAGTATTGTTTAAACAGGATCTTAAGCAAGAATTGTTGTAACTCTTACAAGAGAGGTTTTCGTTCTTCCGAGACTCGAGTCTTCGATCGACGTGCACTACACATTATAGTTGTTCAAAGTTGCATGCTAATTTCTTTAGTCTTATCATGTGTGAAACCGACAATTGCGGATGAGATAGAGATTGACCGATTGAAAATTCTGTTCAAGTGTTAACTAGAATAAATTTGTGATACATGCTGTTACTACTGGAAAATCAAGGACTGACATAGGAAATCACGTGATTGGGGGGGGGGGGCGGTACCTACTCCTGTCAGAACAGTAAACACACGTCAGACCTACCAATAGCTATGGAGCTCCCACGTGTCCTTTTCTTTGCTCTAAATCGCGTAAAATCAGTTTGGAAGGTGGGAAATGTGACATAAAGCAGATTTACTCCTGACATTCACACCAATCCATGGATTATTGATGATTCTTGCACTCACCTCACTATAAAAAGAGGAAGACCCCTTATTAAGGGGATTCAACATTTTACACTAGAAATTAGCTCTCTTCTCTCTCTCAATACTTTGTATTTTTTTTTTTTTTTTTTTTTGCCAATCATTTGTAAGTCAGTCCGCTGTTGCGATCTGACCCACTATATTAATACAAATCAGTGGACGTAGGACTTGCTACCTTAGCATCCGAACCACTTTAAAAGGCTCTCATTGCATTTACTTTACGTTTTATTCATAATCACGTGTGTCTCTTGACCAATCAACGTTACGCACGTGTCAATTAGTTAGTGTCAAAAACCACCATCAACACATGTTGATCGCTTTTGGAAACTTTAGTTTGAATAAAGTTGTTTTGTAGTCAAAGCATATAAACGTGTTGGAAAGTTAATTTCGGAATAGTGCTTCTTCTAGGATAGAGTACCAATTAAGCAAAGATTACTATAAGGAGTATTCTGTATGATTTTTCCACTAAGCTCGGAGCATCGCGAGGATATAGTTCGATCTAGAATCAGCTTCACTCCACCGATTGTCTGACCAAGCATAAGTTCGTTGAGCTATAGCTCGACCTCACACAAGCTAGTCACAAACAATCCGAGTGATCATTCAACCAATTCACAGATAACTTCAGATCCCAAATATCTCGGGAATGATCAGATTGACAATAATCTTTGCACAATCACAGTGCCCAATCATGAGAATATCGGAGTTGCATTTCAATTTAATTGTAATCCTTTTATTTTCGCTATTTCCTTTGTACAAACTCTATATATAAACCCTCTCAAACGATGAGGAAGGGGTTGAAAAATATTTCTAGAATTACTATTGTAAACTCTCACAGCAAATACAAAGAACAGTGGACGAAGGCTCTAGAGTTCATCTCATCGAACCACTTTAAAATCCTTTTTGCCATTTACTTTACTGCATTCATTATCCATTGATTGCTGGTTATCTGTAATCACGCATATGCCAGTTCTGATCTTGCATTCAAAACCTTGCTTCTCGTCAAGCGTTATTTTCCCCTCTGAAATTTTCAAAGCAGCCTCTATTGCACAAAGTCAAGACGGTCGCACTAGCTCTTGGAAGTGGGAAAGAAGTAACACTAGAAGACATGGTTCTTAGTATCCTACGATTTGCGATATGTATCTTATAATACGATTTGATATGAGTCGCTAATGATACATATCAGAGAGTGTATCCTAAAGTTTTTGATACATTGATATGTATCATATGACATGATACGTATCCGTTCGTATACTTAAAAATATCGATATGACTTTATTAATTTAGGTCGAAAGCCCAAAAAAAAATTGGGGTAAAATCCGAGTCAGCCAACCCGGTTCACTAAAACTTGCCTAAATTTACCTATTTTGCATGGAGAAAGTGAAGAGGAAGATGTATTTCCTATTTTGCATGATAATAATAATATAAGTGGAGATATAAATGGTTGAGAGGAAATGATATAGATTCTTAATTTTGATTATGTAATACCATAATTTAAAGTCAATAATATCATAAAATTCGTTAATTAATCTTGGGGATGATATTAATTTTTAGAAAATTTTTATTATTTTATTAATTTTTTTAAAAAGGTGTATCTTACAATACGATATGATACAATACGTGATACACGATTCGAAAAATTAAGTTTTTGATACACGATTTGACAACCATGTTGGAAGACGCTGGCATAAAAGTTGAATTCATATTATACAGAAAATCAGTAATATGGTTATTAGTATCTTATGATACCCGATAAGTATCATACGATACGATTCGTTACAAGTCGCCAACGATACGTATCAGAGAGTGTATCCTAAACCTTTCGATACGTTGATATGTATCATATAATACGATACGTATTCGTTTGTATCCTTAAAAATATCGATACAAATCGATATGACTTTATTAACTTGGACCAAATGCCTCCAAAAAAAATCGGGTCGGAACCGGGTCACCCAACCCGGTTCACTAAAACCTACCCAAATTTACCCATTTTGCATGGAGAAAGTGAGGAGGAACTTGTGTTGTCCATTTTGCATGATAATAATAATACAAGTAGAGATATAGATATTGACATTAATCTTGGAAATGATATAAACAATTGAGAGAAAATGATATAGATTCTTAATTTTGTAATTAATTTTGATTATGTAATACCATAATTTTGCACCAATAATATAACAAAATTCTTTAATTAATCTTGGGATGATATTAATTTTTAAAAAATTTTGATTATTTTATTTATTATTTTATTAATTTTTTTGAAAAACATGTATCCTATAATATGATACGATACGCGATACGATTCAAAAAATTAAATTTTTGATACACGATACGATATACGATTTTACGACTAACACACAAACCTCATCCTGCCTCATGGAAAATGCTAATGGCTAAGTCAACAGTCGCAATGCAATTACCCTTCTCACACTCCGTCACATTACTTGGGGTTTTATGAATTTGTCGGGCTTTAATTCCGTTATATCCTTCATTTGACCACTAACCTTAGCCAATACATGACAGTATGTATGGCATGGCAACTTGCATCACCAAATTAATTATCACTGTCGAACAGTGGACAAGTTGAAGGGCGGTCCCAGAGCGTATTAAATTTGGTCAAGATTGGTTTACAAATAACACATCAAGGCTTTTTCTATTATGTACTTTCCTTCAGCAGTATTGCAAAATATCTTAGCTTACCCAAGTAAAGCATACCACTACCAGAACCAGCTATCTTCTTAGTAATCTCATACGTACTCTCCACATGTAGCCCAAAGCAGCACACCCCACCCAAGATCTTCGCAAGTCTTCCCGCCCCACCCACCTAAACCCCACACATCATAGCCTCGCCGCTAACCTCTCATCACCATATTTAATAACCACCACCAAGTGAAAAACTAGAAATAATTTTTTTTTTCTTTTTCCTATTTGGAAAAACCCTCAATGATACAAAGAATTTTTATTAATGAAAAAATATTCATATACCTAATTATGGAGATATAATGAGTATTAATTACTTTTCAAAATGTTTATATATACTATCATTGTCTTGTCATATAAGTGAGACTTCTTTATTAATAAATGAATGAAAGATTGATGGAATAAAAGATTGATTTACAATTTGTACATGATTATCTTCTAATGTAAGGATTATGAATTCTCAAAACTTTAGTAAAGGTGTTGATTCATAAATTTGTACAATTGGTAAAGGTGTTGATTGATTAAAATTGAAGAATGTTTCACTAACCGTGGCGGTATTGCCCCCATGTCTTAGATTTTTTCTATTCTATCTAAAATAGGACTCTGAATTCTTAGTTTAGCAACATATATCGTAAACGCTGAGCAAATCTATAGGTCAACTTCAGTTTAGGTCTTTGGAAAACAAGTGTGATAATGAAAAAATACATTCCTCTTTTAATAATGCAAACTGCCAACATGTATTGAAATTTAAAACTTAATTGGTATCCCACATGATGGTTGTTGGTGCATGTTATGGGCATATCGATCAAAACCCTTATATGATAGGTGTCCTAAGTTAAAGGCCTTATACTAGACTCCAAAAAGAACTTCACAAGCAAAGATGAACTGCCAAAACATCCATGCACAACCACAGCAACTAATTCGTAGCTGCTAAATGGTATTCGTGCAAAAGCAGGTAATACTTTATTTAATATAGATAACCATATATGAGCAGCTAGTTAGCAAGCGCATCATCAAATTTTATTTTCTGATGTATTATTATGGAATATGGATGGACTATGGTAATAGAGATTCCGTATTATTTAATGAAAGTGTCATTGGAGTCTTTTAACGTTGCACTGCTAATTTCTTTAGTATTATCATGCGTGAAACCAACAGTTGCGGATGAGATAGAGATTGACCGATTGAAAATTCTGTTCAAGTGTTTGTGCTGCATGCTTAACTAGAATAAATTTGTCATACATTCTGATCGCTTTTGGAAACTTTAGTTTGAATAAGTTGTTTTGTAGTTAAAGCATTTAAAGGAGTTGGATAATTAATTTCGGAATAGTGCTTGTTCTAGGATAGAGTACCGATTAAGCAAAGATTACTACCAGGAGAGACTCTAGAAACGTTTTGACCTAGTAGTCTATAGAACAAAAGGTCAAAACTCAAAACGTTATATTACATGCATTACATTAATTTAGGGCGCCAATCAAGATTATGACCAGAACATCTGTATGAGCTTTTCTACTGTAGTCAAACTGATATGGCCTTAACATCATGTGCTTTAAGAGTAGAAGAACAAAACACTACTAAAATTTATGTTTCATACATCCTATATATATCTTTAAACTTATATGCAAAGTGATATAAGATTGATATCATGGATATATATTTCATATTGTGTTTTCTGCTATTTCTAAATACATGTATTTTCATTGTCTGAAGTAGACAACATGGATGTTATTTTCTCAATATTCTCGTTTATTATAAAAATTATTTATCAAGTTAAATTCACTTTTTGGTACTTTTATATATTAAAAAAAAGACAAAATAAAGAAATAAAATTAATTTAAAACTTAATTTAGACGAATATCTGAAATTTTCAGAGCAGCCTCTATTGTGCAACGTCAAGTCGTTCGCACTAGCTCTTGGGAGTGGGAAAGAAGTAACACTAGAGGGCGCTGGCATAAAAGTTGTCTTCACATTCTACAAGTCAGGAACACATAAAGTCATAAACCTTATCCTGACTCATGTAAAATGCCAATGGCTAGGTCAACAGTCGTAACGCAACAACTCTTCTCACACTCCATTACTGTACTTGGCGTTTTATGAGTTTGTCGGGTTTTAATCCCGTTATCCTTCATTTGACAACTAACCTTGGCCAACACATGACAGTATGTATGGCATGGCAACTTGCACCACCAATTTAATTATCACAGTGTCGAACAGCGGACAAGTTGAAGCGCGGTGCCACAGCGTACTAAATTTGGTCAAGATTGGTTTACAAATAACACATCAAGGCTTGTTCTTTTTATATATATACTTTCCTTCAGCAATATTGCAAAATATCTTGGCTTACCCAAGTAAAGCATACCACTACCAGAACTAGCTATCTTCTTAGTAATCTTATACGTACTCTCAATTCCTTTCAAAGTCTCTCATTATGCAGATCACTAAACCACATGTAGCCTTATTAGCTAGCCCAGGTATGGGGCACCTTATTCCTGTCCTGGAGTTGGCCAAACGCCTTGTTACTCATCACAATCTCCAAGTCACCGTATTTGTTTTGGCCACTGATACTTCAAGTGATCACTTATCTCAACTTCTCAACTCTCAAAATCATGATTTCCTCAACATCGTCTTACTTCCGACTACCGATATCTCCGGCCTTGTTGACCCAGATGCATCAATTGTAACCAAACTTGTGGTTATGATGCATCAATCCTTACCAGCTCTCCGCTCAACCATCTCTGCAATGAAGTTCCGTCCAATGGCTCTGATTGTCGACTTGTTTGGAACTGAAGCTATGAAAGTTGCTGATGAGTTTGGTATGTTAAAGTACGTGTTCATCGCTTCTAATGCATGGTTTCTTGCAGTCACAATATATGCTCCGGCAGTTGACAAGAACGAGCTAGCTGTACATGTTAACCAGCAACAGGTGCTAAAAATCCCTGGTTGTAAACCGGTTGAGTTCCAGGATACCCTTGAAGCCTTTCTGGACCCGAATGATCCGATGTATGATGGATTTTTACATGCGGGGATGGAGATTTCAGCGGCTGATGGAATCATTGTAAACACATGGGAAGAACTGGAGTTCACAACACTTGAAGCCTTGAGAGATAATACTAAATTGGGACGCATTGCTAAGGCTCCGGTTTATCCAATCGGTCCATTGGTAAGACAGGCTGCACCACAAGCTCTGGAGAGCAAAGTTCTTGATTGGCTGGACATGCAACCCACTGAATCAGTGATTTACGTGTCGTTTGGAAGTGGTGGAAGACTACCAGCCAAACAAATGATAGAGCTAGCATGGGGGCTAGAGCAAAGCCAACAAAGATTTATTTGGGTTGTACGCCCTCCATTGGAGAATGATATATCTGGGTCCTTTTTAACCTTGGGAAAAGGTTATGATTCTGACGGCAGCCAAGATTACTTGCCAGATGGTTTCTTGACACGAACCCACAACATAGGACTGGTGTTTCCCATGTGGGCTCCTCAAGCAGAGATTTTGCAACATCCATCAGTTGGTGGATTTTTGTCACATTGTGGATGGAATTCCACACTGGAAAGTATAAACAATGGGATACCGATGATTTCATGGCCACTATATGCAGAGCAGAAAATGAATGCTACGATGCTAACAGAAGAGCTTGGGGTGGCTGTGCGTTCAAAGGAGTTGCCATCAGAGAGTATGGTGGAGAGACAAGAGATCGAGATGATGGTGAGAAAGATCATGGTGGACAAAGAAGGGCATGCAATAAGAAATAAGGTGAAGGAATTAAAATTGAGTGCTGAAAAAGCTTCGAGTAAAGGTGGTTCCTCGTATAATTCACTGTCCCAAATGACCAAACACTGCCAGAACATGCTTGAGGGTAAAGGCTCAAGGTGCTTGGTAAGGCTCCATGATGAGCTGCGTACCATGGAAATATATGCTACGAACTAGGAGTATTGTTTTTTTTTCTGCTTTTTTAAATGTAGTATTGCTTCCACGGTTTAATTGAGTTAATAACATATATGTTATTATTATTGGCGCTTTAACCCTTTTAATTCACCACTTGTTGCGGTTGGATTTGTACAATATTATAATTTTCCGTCAAACGAACTTTCGACCATTTTCATCTCTTTTCTTCCGTAAAGTAGTGGAATGCAGTCCATAAAGGTTCATGTTTTGTTTACTATAGATTATTTTTTTTGACCCAGATGTATAAATTACGTGTAACTCGACTAATAATTGGATTTATTGCAGATGTTGTTGAGTTTGGAAATAAAATTCCTGAAATTCCAGCAAATATTTAACTTTGGAAAATTAAATTAAATTGAATTTTTCTTAAGCATAAGTGCATAACAGAAGATGTGTCCAGGCAAATTAAAAGTAGCCATAATGAGAATTTGCTATTAAAGCCAACCGGATAAAGCTCTGCACATGCAAAATATTTTAAAAAGAAATAAATATTTCTTCTCTCAATAGCTCAAATAATAAATTCATAATATGTTATGTTTTATATCTCAGATGATAAATTAGTTGATTGTTGGAGGGGGAGTTGGGAGATAGAGGTAGGGAATTGAAGATGGCTTTTGAGGATAATTGGTGGAATAACCTAACAGGGACACTACAGAAATTTCAGTTTTTCAGTTATGTTTTTTGCCCTTAGTTAAGGGAAGGTAAGTGACAATCTTTACAAATGTGAAGGGCAGGGGTGTAACTTGATAATTTATGAAAACCTGAGAGGATGCATTGGTAAAACTTCTTTTCAAATTTAAAATTTATAAAGAGTTAATAACATTCATCCCCTACATTACATAAGATATAGTAACAATATCCTCTTAAGGTTTCGAAAATAATAGAAATTTTTCTACCATTAATGAACCATTCAAATTTATACTATTATGTTTCATGAGCTCCTAAGTTCAAGTCCCCACAGGTGTTAATAGAGGTGGCTACTGAAGGGCTTATCTAGTCATCAACTTCAAAGCTTTAAAGGATTAGTTGAGATGAACGCAAATTAGCTCGAACACCTCCGATCACCAAAAAGAAAAAAAATTATACTATTATGAGTTGGTATATATTACCAAATAACCTTCCTACCAATTATTTTAACACGTCAAGGGAGACTTCTGTTATTTCTGAAACTTCAAAGAGAATTTTGTTGTTATATTGTAACTCAAGGGGATTAATGTGATGAACTATTTTATAAAAATAAAAATATTCCCATCTAAATTTACAGTTGATGCCTCAATGCTCCTCTACCTCAAGTCATTATCGTCAACCGTTTGCATTTTCTTTTGGGTGAAAATGAATATAATACATGTTCGTTTATGAAATATTTTAATATGTTATGAGTCTCATCTTTTATATATAAACTAATATTTTAACATATTTTATTATATTTTCTCTTTCCAATATATTTTTCTCTCTCTTTGACAAAAATTTAAATCAATATTTTTAATACAGGATGATAAGATAAACAAAACAAACACTCAGTAAGATAAACAAAATAAATAACCATGTATTTTGGGTTAAAGATGAAACTCTAAAATTGTTGCACCTGCTCTTAAATGGGCTATTACTTAATAATTACTTAATAATCAGTTACATGTAAAGACTGAGAGTAAACAACTTTTCTCACCCAAATAATGACACTTTCGCATCCTCATATTTTTAAAATATCATTTTATTATCCAAATTTATATTCTGTTTTCGATCCGGTTAGAAAATCTATCATCAACCAATAAACATGGATCATACAAACATAACTTCAATCAAATATATTAAGAGGTTTGATAAATGATTTCGTCATTGATCAGAGCAACAAGCGATAACATCAATACATATATATTTTTGTCCTTCTCTTTCAAAGAGAGAATAGAACGGAAATGGACAACTGAGGAAAATGCGCTAACCTTCCAAGGAATAAAAAGGTCATGCTCATACAGCTTCAGTGGCTTTCTTAAGCCACGCTAACTCATATTCATCCAAGTACGGGGTAAGAATATCTCTACACCTTGAATGATAAGAGTTCAGCCAATCTATCTCTTCAGTTGTTAATAAACTCAGGTCGATCATCTTTGTCTGATATGGTGCCTGGAAGTAAGAAAATCATCAAGCATAGAAAAACAGGGCACTAGTTACATTTGGCTATGACCGTGTGTGTGCGTCAGTGCGTGTGGTTGCATGTTGACATGTGTAAAATCATATAAACTCGACAAGAAATCTACAAATCGTATTATGAACTAGGCCATGAAACAGAAACAACAACTGCTTTTCTCACTATCTATATTTGAAGACCAGTGAGAAAAGAACAAATTAAAGAATACCCAAAGCACAAAGATTATCAAGTATGATTATCGATGATAAAAAAGAAATATAGAACGTTTGATTACTTTGCATAGAAAAATAGAAGCAGATGATTAACTTACCCATGTTATATGCTCAAATGCCAAGTAACCCTTGTCACCAAAATTGAACTTTGTATCCGCCTCTTTGACTATAAGCACATTCTCCAACCTTATACCAAATTTCCCATCCTCATAGTAACCAGGTTCTGAGAAAGCAAGTTCAAATTAATTAATAGTAAATCCCAATGATTCCAACAATAATACAACCTTCATTTTTGGAAAGACTAAAAGAACTAATAGGGCACAAACTCATTCAGGACAAAGATAAGATGCCATTAGCCAGAAACAAGAAGTATATGCATGACTGAGAAGAAGTTCAAGAAACATAAGCATTAGAGCAATAATTCAAAAGATAAGTAAATGGCCAAGGTAAAACCTACACTAAAAACCCTTATGAGCATGCATCTGGCTATAAGACCCCTCAAAGCCAGTAAAACAAAAGAGATAATAGTTTGAATATATATATATTCTCATGAACTCTGAGCAAATATAATTTAAAACTTTATGAAAACTTTCTTCTATAACTGCAATTAAAGCAAAAACACTACCATACTAACCATCTGTTGCAGTCATGGATGCTTGAATAGGCACAAGTTGAGCCTGGGGTCTAAAACTGATTAAGTGGGGTCCTGCTCAGGCATTGCAACAGAAAGATTAACTAATTAGGCTTTTCAATAAAATCAAGTACATAAGTAAAGGCAAGCAGTTAGAATTCACCGCTTACCTTCATGAACATTTAGGTAAGACCCAACTCCATGACCAGTACCATGTCGGTAATCAAGACCATATTTCCACAAAGGCATCCTAGCAAGAATGTCAAGGGTGTTACCTGTAAAAAGCAGTCAAGCAATCAATCAGAAGAATCTAATTATGCAGATTCAATGTTCTCTCGTAACTCCAAATTTGCTGAAGTTACACTCATATAAAAGAATAAAAAATTAAAAAATAGTGAAAAAAACTTATTTAAATATGGAAACGGATGAAGGAGAAAAACTTAATACCATTGGTTCCATTAGGGAATCGAGCATTTCCTAGAGCAATATGTCCCTTGAGAACCTGCATGACGTCCAGGAAATCCCGGCGCAAAAAGGAACACGAAAATTGTTATATTTTTGGAGAAAGTTGGAATACCGACGACATGAAAGCTTGACTTTGCAGAAAAAAATGGACAATCAAATAACTTCGGTGGATTTCTAAATTGACTATTCAACACAAAACTGCAGAATTTACATATATTTGGATCGAATACAAGGGGTTAAATTTCAAATACTAACAGGAATTAACAATTAAATAAACATTATCAGAAAGTGTATCAGATTCTTGCTGCAAAGGCAGCATAAAGTAGGTGGTGAAAGACTGCATTATATGCTGCTTCATAATAGTTGTCAGGGCAGTGACTTAGTGCCTAGATTGGTAGTGATAAATTGGTGGTCTTGGTAGTGGTTTGCCAATGCTGAAGGTGGTTACAAATTGCAAAAGCTGGTAAACATTGATTACTGAATCAATTATGAAGCTAATTATTGCAAATTGCAATATTATTTACCCATATATGTATCCTGTTGTGGAGAGAAAAATTCCAAATTTATAAGGAGAACACCACATATCTTTCTAAGGTTCCCTTTTCAGGCCAACCAAATGAGCACAACAAACCGAGATGTAAGAGAAGTAAATGAAAGAAGAACTAAACCATGTTTTGAGATGCATGCTATAAAATTAGGCCAATTCAAAATGCAAAAAACCTGTCCAAAAAGGAGACCAAAGTAAGGAACCTACCGCAGTATAGCAGGCTTTCTCGTGCACCGATGGTTTTCCAAAATGAACTGTTCGAGTAATATCAGTTGTTCCATCTAGATACTTCAATGATTCCATCAACAATATCAATAAAGAGACAAGCAGTGGAATTTAATGGTAAAACACGGCAGATATAGCATTGCATTGATAACTTGCTACAAGATAAGCCATTTCAGACTAACAAACCTGTCCTCCTGAATCACACAAATAGATGCTGTCTGGATCAAGCTCAGCGCATGTTTCTGCTTCCGGTGAATAATGTATTATGGCTGCATTTGGTCCAACGGATGAAATAGTAGGAAAGCTTAAGCCTCTAAAATGCTGCAACCATAACCCATAAAAAGAATATTTATTTCTATCATCTTGAATAAAAAATAAAAAAACAAATACACAAAAAAAAAAAAAAAAATGCCACATACAATTCTCATCCTTAGTATGCTATGACACAAAATCTTATCTTTGATTAAAATAAAATAACTCGCAAGAGTAACAGAACTCCATAAGATAATGAAATACAATGACTCCACTTGGATCAAAGATATCAAAAACTTCCAAGACCCAATTGTGGCATATATCTGGTTTTTAACACCCAAAGAAATAGACTAGCATGAGCTCCAATGAAAGAATGTCCTTTGCAAGTTAATTTATAAACAAGAAAAATGATCCCTAGTATGTGCACTGTGCATATATGATGTTTGCAAAACATATCACAAGCAAACTCTTAACAACTTTGTAACAAATACAAGAAAGAATCTATAAAGCTCATCAGATCTGACCAACAAGATAAAAAAATAATATGATTGACTTATGACTGATCTCAAACAGTTTGCCTTCAGAGTCCCTTCTGATTCCTATACAAGAGTGTGAAAAGGAGGCACAGCACAATACGTGTAGATGGTCATAGCACTTTTTAATACACTATATTATCTACACCCTAGATGCTCTCTCTCAGCTCCCACATTGATTTCTTAAGTTGCAATACATCGACCTATTGCAATGTCAAAAATGCCAAAACAATAAAACCAAAAGATTCAAAAGTTTGATACAGTCTAATGCATTATATGAACCTTCTTTTTTTTAAACTTTATTTATTTGTATACATATTTCAGAATAATATTTTAAAAAAAAAAAAAAAAAAAAAATCTTACCTCTTTAGATGCCCGAAAACTTTCCAGCTTATCACTTGCAGTCACCTCTGTCAATTTCATGGATTCCCTGTTAATGTTCATTCCATTGACATGAAAAAATGTGGATCAGAGTGATATGTGAAGCTCAAAACACTCAAAATGTGTTAAGCAACTATCACGTACTCAGCCCAAGAAGAAAAACAAAACAAAAGAACCAATGTAACGCATCCCATAACGACAAAGTAATTAAATGTGTTATTGAGATTTAAACTTATTTTATCAATGAAAAGGCAAAAACAAACTAGGAATACAAACATGATACTTGTGTCCAGAGAAAATAAAAAAATAAAGGCAGACTCACGAATTCTTTTTCTTATTTCCTCCCTCTGCTTCCAAGAAGTAACCAGAAGCCCCATAAATCTCCTGCATCTGTACAAATCAGAACAAGCTTGGTCTTTAATTTCAAGCCTAAGATTTTGTATTGATACTGAGAGGGAGAGAAAACAATAGAAACCATGTCAATATATTCATTCAATTTCAAGAGAGAATAAAAAGTTAAAAAGTATGTAGACTTAACAATATACCTGCTTATCCAACCAGGCAAAATATTGCACAACAGCTGCACCATCCCGAATGTGGGCCTTTTTCAACCCATCCAATTCAACTGGGTTCTAAACTCAAAAGAAAATCAATCAGTAAAAATAAATTAGTTTCCGAAAGGTTTGCTGCAATGCTAATCCATAAAAAAAAAAAAAATAAAAAAAAAAAAAAATTGTATTACATTGACTATAAAAAAATAAAAAATAAAAATAAAATTATCTAAGATTTAATTACACAGACACCAGAAATCTCCAAGCGAAAAAAGAAAATTGAGAGGGCCTCTTTTAGCATACAAGTCAATAGTCAATATTTCATAAATCACAAAATATATGAAGAAAACTTGAAAAGGCATATACAAATTTATTAGCTCTATCTGACTTCTAAACTCTATGCTGTTAAGAGCCTTCATTTTTCAAATATACAGCATTAGCAAGAAAAAGGTACATATCAAGATGGCTGGAAGATGTAAAAACTTTAATGCAATCCCACAGCAATCATATTATGGCTAAAATAAGGGGCTCTTTTAGATTATTATTAAGCAACAGATATCGAAAACATCATGAATAAGACATTTTATATCAAAAACTCAGCACTATTCACTTTAGCTTTGCAGTAGACAGAGCCCCACATATTTCTAAAACAATCTTGTATAAAACAATCTTTTGCATTACTTATTCTCATAGGTAACAAAGAGCATGTACTACCTTTAAAGCTTTTGCAAGAGCCAAAGGCGACTGCTGCATAAAGACCTTATCAGACTTTAATTTTGAATATAGAGCATAGCAGCATGAGCGAGGGTCAGCCCATATGAGATCAATTTTGCCTTCTGCTTCTTTTGCGCCATTTCCTTGTACATCAGTCAAACTAGATTTTAGCTGATCAGATACAAGCAAAACCACATCTCCGCTCACTGCACTGTAGTCCCGAAGTTCAATTCCACTCTCCTTCAATGAAGAGTATACCTGCATACAAAACAAATTTCTTACTGTCTGACCTGTGAATGTCATACTTGCCCGGTATGGATACAAGAATTAAAATCTACCGATTAGGATAGCACAAGTCTGCACATGGTTTTAACCACTAACATGAGACACAAACATTGACTAACCCAATGCATAAAAAGAAGGGAAAAAATGAAAAATTCCTGCAAAGAAAAATTCCCACGAGATCAAACTGGAAATATGACATGCACTACATTAGCAACCGCAGTAAATAGTGGCAGCAAGAAAGTGCACAAAATCTAAATACTTCATGATACTGACCTCGGAGGACACTTTCTTGTTGTCCACATACAGAAAAGCTGAATTGGTTGTTACTATAGCAAATGCCTGAACAACTGGGCTGTAGGATATATCACTTCCCCTAATATTATACAACCAAGCAACCTGCAAAGCAACAATAGGACTTATATTGCAAGAAAAAACAACAAATCAGAAGAAATGGAGGAGGTCCAGCAGTTAGAAATTTCAACCAAAAGAAAAAATTAACTGCCAAAACACTTATCAAATTCTAACACAAACCTCATCAAGAGCTGTGATGATGATACCACGAGCTTTCTCATGAACAAGCTTCTCCCTCAAGTCCTTCAACTTGTCAGCAACTGATTGACCAGTAAACTCTATTGGATGGAGAACAACCGGATTGATTTCTGCTGGTGGCCGATTTTTCCAAACCTCATCCACCAAATTGGCTGATGTTTGAACCAGCTTCTGTTGTTTTTTGGCAAAAGCACGCTCCCACCTCTGTGCAGCTTCTATTGACACACACCAGGAGTCAACACCAATGGCGGCATCATGTGGCAGGTTCTAACAAAATCAAATCACAAAATCCACTTTTTACCATCAGAAACATGCATCGCAATATAAGCAAAATTAATAAAGCAACAGATAAGAATAAAAGCATAATAAATAAAGCAACACAATAGAATAACCAGAATTATCATAAGAAAGAAACAGTTCTGAGATATTTATTGAAAAACCTTGTTACAGAACAAGGTACCAAATCAACTGACCAGATGATTAGAGCCAAATTAGTGCTCCCAAGGTCAGGGTTGACCAGTGCAAACTACCATAATGCATTCAAATAAAATCCGGTCTTGCAAGCTTCAAATAAGAGTTTAAAATAAACATAATACCGCAAGATACTAGATATAAAAGAAATTTTCGGAGACTTACATCAGCCATCCAGACCTCCAAAGGAGGATCTTCTCCGATTCGCATGAGTTTCCACTCACCTTTGAGCTCTTGTAATGCCTGCAGAAAATACCGTCCATCCGTCCACAAAAGCGCATCATTCATAGTAATAAGCGCCAAACCTGAAATTTCAATAATCAAAACAGATTCGTATTACCTTAAATCTACAAAAGACAATAATATCATAGTTAAGAATTCAAATTGACCTGCGCTTCCGGTGAAGCCAGAGACGAATTCACGGCGTTTATCACGTGCAGAAACATATTCACTCTACAAGAAGGCAATAAAAACATTAGATTAAAAAAAAAAAAAAAACTAGAATATTAACAATTTAGATTAAAAAAAAAAAGAACCTGGTGATAATCTTCGGATGGAACAATTAAAGCATGTAAGGGAGGATTGTAAGAAGACATGAGAGATCTCAGAGAAACGAGGATGTCTGCCATGTCTTTGGTAGTTGTGTTGCGTAACTGGTTAAGTGTTTTGATGAGAAGTTGTTGTTGTGTCATGGATATTGAGAAACAATAGAGAGTGTTGAAGTGGAGTGAGTTACTAAAGGGCAATGGTATTCATACAAAAACTCTTCGTACAAAACTTACCTGGCACCACAAAGTATGTCCTGAGGTAATAGAATTTAGGTAATTTAATATCATATTAATATTATATGAATCCTTACGTGACCTTACAGTTATATATGTTACGTAAATTTGTATAAACTCTCTTTTCTACAACAGGAACAGATAATATTATCCTAAACTAAAATAGTAAACCCTATTGCCATTACTTACCTTGTTGGATGGACAAATTGACAGAAAAATCCTTTTATTATAAATTCATCTATTTTTATGCTAAACTTAATATTTAAAACCGATATATTGATAGAGTTTTGATAAGATGAATCCAATAAAAAGAGATTTAAATTTTCATAAAATTTGATAATTTAAATCAATAACTTATGTAAGAATTCTTATATTATATGTGTACATGTACAGAAGCCGGATTCGGATTTCATAAACTAAAATCTTGATTTAAGTTTAGTAAAGAACATAATTGATTTACTGAAGAAGATGGTGGGTGGAAAAATAATCAGAATTTACTCTGTTTTGACACTGCTAGCTTAGGATACTTCTGTCAGAATGATTCTTAGAATAAAATGGAACACGGTGGTGGCGCAATATAAGAGAACATGTTCCACTCGAATCATCGTGTGTATAATTCTGATTTCTGAATGCAATATTAAATCAGCATTAAGTCATTGACCCCAAGGGATTCGTCTGATCATCTGAATGCAATATTAAATCAGCATTAAGTCATTAACCCTAGAAATTGTCTAGTGATTAAGAAGATCTGTTCCTTTTGTTAGCTTTTTTATTTGCTTTTTTAGTTCAAACCATCATAAGACTATTTATCACATTCATGACATACTTGAAACATTAAGCTTATAGAGCTATAGGATGTTCAATAAACTCTAAACATGAATATTAGGCTTGTAAGGTTCAATAAACCCCAAAAATTAATTAAAATGCGCATAAATTGGTTCCAACTACTTAGTTAAAATATATATATATATAAAATGAATGTTAAGATGTCTTTCTCCAAGGAGTTAATATTATCCATATACTGATACTGTATGTCATTATATCTTGAAAGCACAGGTAATAAAATACTGAATCTGGCAGGCCTAGAAATGATTAAAGATTGTTAAGTGAAAATGAAGGCATAGCCGCTTGAACGAGTAGAAACAAAAATGAAATTTTATTACATCACATCAAATCTCTATAAATTACAAGTTATCAAATGAAAATATACAGAAAGCCGACGTCTCACAAATTAACATTTTATTTGGGGAGACGAAGAAAGAAGAATTTCATACCATTTACATCTTCTAAACGGGAAGAGGAACAGAAACAGAAATAGAATAAAAAATGTGGGTGGGAAACAATCATAAAACAAGCAAACAAACACAAATGAACGAACAAACATAAAGGAGAGGACATGCATCAAGCCTGGCAAAGCCTCTTGACTACTGCAGCCATATACTTGCCCTGATGTTCGGCAAGTGCCAGCTCTGTTTCACTTGGCTCTCTTGTGCCATCACCGGCAAAAACTCCAGCACCATATGGAGAACCCCCTCGAATAGACTCCATCTTGAACATACCAGCTCCAAATGTGTAACCAATCGGAACAAAGAGCATTCCATGGTGAGCCAACTGGGTGATTGCAGTCCAACTGGACCAAACATAAACATGAAACACAGTAGCGAAAACTGTTGATAACTATTTATTATTATTTTGGGAAAGAAAACACAACCTCATATCAAGCTCACAAAACAATCTCCATTCCTAAGACCATGACTTATAAGAACCAAAGATGGAATGCTAAACCAAAACAACAAACTAGAAGCATAACAACTTCCAAACAGAATACATGCACTTCACATGGATTAAGATAAACAAACTTCTGTTATCTGACAACTACACAAATGCACTTCTACGGATATACCTTTTACTTATTGCTTGTTGTAAAACGATGGATCAGTAAACTGGAGATGAAGTGAACAATCTACAGAACAAGTTCAGTATTCTTTAAATTGTTGATAAAGAATGAAGAAAGCAAAATGTTCAGCAAATTAAACATTTTTCCAGAGATTTCTTTACTTCTACATTCTTCTTGGTGCTCAAGTGGTTCTTGGTTCAAGAACATATATTTTGTGAAACAGCTTGGTTTATTTTGTGTACCACAAACCAGAGATTGAACTATTTCTTTCATTGCTCCCAATTGCTCGGTTAATTCATGGTTTGATACTTTAAATTTTTAACTATCATCATAATTTCACAAGCATGCATTAGTACCTACAATGTCTTCACACACGTGTTGAATATACAGCTTCAATAAGTCAAAGTGAGCAGCTGTAAATTAATAAAAATATTGTTGAGCAATAACAAAAACAATTTCTACCATTGAGTTTATAAATGCTGTACCAATAACAAAATGATCCATTTTCTTGGTTATTAATCTACTGTCAAGCTACAAGTAATTTATCACAACAGTTAAAAGTTTCGACATAGGAAGGATACAGATGCTGGCAAACAATTAGGTTGATCATAGATACATGAATTATAATTCCAATAAATTACTCACATTTTTTCTTTCAAAACTCACAGTGGAGCTTGACAATACATTTCATGAGACTCCTTTCGTCAGTACTCCATAATAGAAGAGCGAAATCTCTGCTCAATTAGAATCTCCTAACACTTCAAATTCATGATTAACTCTTAAGATCTTTAATGAGGCTATTCTACATAACTTCAAAAGTCACCTCCAGACTATAAGTCATGTTTCTAAATTCCATTTTCCTGCTCTCTGCTCTTGGAAATCCCAGTGCCACAAACTCAAAAAGCCATTGAAATCCCAAATTAATTTCAACAGCTAATTTATTAGTTCTTGATTTAAATTTGTAGGCTTCCTAACATTACATCCACATAATCAACAAACTGAAAGCAAGATTTTCTCTAAATTGTTCTTGCTGTTCTTGTTTGCAGTCATAAAGGTTATAGTTAAAGCACCACCAAATAAACTAATTCAATTCCAAACGAAATAATGATAACGATAAGAGACATACTAAACACAGTAAGATAGATAACGTCCACCTTCAATGTAAATGTCAATGTTATAAATGTAACATCTCATTTTGCATAAAGTTCCTGATTAATAATAACAGAGATGATCGGGCAGCTAGACTTACGCGGTGGTTTCCTGGCCGCCGCCTTGAGTACCGGTACTCACAAAAAAACCGGCCGGTTTTCCCACAAGTTTTCCTTCCTTCCACAACTGGCCAGTGGAGTCAAAAAACGCTTTCATTTGGGCCGCCATGCACCCATACCTCGTTGGAAACCCAAACAAAAACCCGTCCGCCTCAACCAGCTCCGCCGCCGAAATCTCCGGAATGGATTCATCTTTCGGCGGGGCTTTCATGCTCTCCAACACCTCTCTCGTCAACGTTTCGGGCACCCGAAAAAGCAATCCTTCCACACCCTCCACACCGTCGACGCCTTTCTTCATCCTCTTGGCCAGTCCCTCCACATGGCCATACATAGAATATAACACAATAAATATCTTCAATTTGGCGACTTCTGGTTGAACTATTGTTGTTGTTGTTGTGATGGTGTCGTTGGCCTGAATTTCGGAGGATTGTTCGGGGATTGGAACCGGCGGAGGGGCGTCAGCATGGTCGGCTTGGGAATTACTGGCAAGGGCAGAGGGGTGTTTTTTCTTCTTGCTTGGTACACAGCCTCCACCTTTCCCCATCAATGATTAGGTGATTCCTTAATGAGGACAATGAGAACCTAACGGTGGAGCAGGATTTGGAGAGAATGGAGGCAATTGTAGTTGATGAAGTCAGACGATTAATTTAAAGAGGTTTTTGTTTTTAAGGTTTGGTATGGGATCTTTCAAGACAGATAAGTTGCTGAGAAATGCAGGTTAATATACGTATGACAGTTCATAACACCGCACGTGCCGCCTGGTTTTAGGCTTTTAAACGATGTCGTGCTTGGTTATGACTCATTCACTCTTAGTCTTACAATTGTGTGCTTTATGAGCAATTTATCCATTGTCTAGTGATCAAGAAGATTTGTTCCTTTTATTAGTTTTTTTGAGTTCAAACTATCATAGAACTATTTATCACATTTACGACATACTTGAAACATTAAGCTTACAGAATTATAGGATGTTCAATGGGCTCCAAGCATGAATATTAGGCTTGTAGTGTTTAATAACTCCAAAAATTAATTAAAATGCATACAAATTGGTTCCAACAACTTAGTTAATATATATATATATATATATAAAAAATGAATGTTAAGATGTCTTTCTCCAAGGAGTTAATATTATCCATATACTGATACTGTATGTCATTATATCTTGAAAGCACAGGTAATAAAATACTGAATCTGGCAGGCATAGAAATGATTAAAGATTGTTAAGTGAAAATGAAGGCATAGCCGCTTGAACGAGTAGAAACAAAAATGAAATTTTATTACATCACATCAAATCTCTATAAATTACAAGTTATCAAATGAAAATATACAGAAAGCCGACGTCTCACAAATTAACATTTTATTTGGGGAGACGAAGAAAGAAGAATTTCATACCATTTACATCTTCTAAACGGGAAGAGGAACAGAAACAGAAATAGAATAAAAAATGTGGGTGGGAAACAATCATAAAACAAGCAAACAAACACAAATGAACGAACAAACATAAAGGAGAGGACATGCATCAAGCCTGGCAAAGCCTCTTGACTACTGCAGCCATATACTTGCCCTGATGTTCGGCAAGTGCCAGCTCTGTTTCACTTGGCTCTCTTGTGCCATCACCGGCAAAAACTCCAGCACCATATGGAGAACCCCCTCGAATAGACTCCATCTTGAACATACCAGCTCCAAATGTGTAACCAATCGGAACAAAGAGCATTCCATGGTGAGCCAACTGGGTGATTGCAGTCCAACTGGACCAAACATAAACATGAAACACAGTAGCGAAAACTGTTGATAACTATTTATTATTATTTTGGGAAAGAAAACACAACCTCATATCAAGCTCACAAAACAATCTCCATTCCTAAGACCATGACTTATAAGAACCAAAGATGGAATGCTAAACCAAAACAACAAACTAGAAGCATAACAACTTCCAAACAGAATACATGCACTTCACATGGATTAAGATAAACAAACTTCTGTTATCTGACAACTACACAAATGCACTTCTACGGATATACCTTTTACTTATTGCTTGTTGTAAAACGATGGATCAGTAAACTGGAGATGAAGTGAACAATCTACAGAACAAGTTCAGTATTCTTTAAATTGTTGATAAAGAATGAAGAAAGCAAAATGTTCAGCAAATTAAACATTTTTCCAGAGATTTCTTTACTTCTACATTCTTCTTGGTGCTCAAGTGGTTCTTGGTTCAAGAACATATATTTTGTGAAACAGCTTGGTTTATTTTGTGTACCACAAACCAGAGATTGAACTATTTCTTTCATTGCTCCCAATTGCTCGGTTAATTCATGGTTTGATACTTTAAATTTTTAACTATCATCATAATTTCACAAGCATGCATTAGTACCTACAATGTCTTCACACACGTGTTGAATATACAGCTTCAATAAGTCAAAGTGAGCAGCTGTAAATTAATAAAAATATTGTTGAGCAATAACAAAAACAATTTCTACCATTGAGTTTATAAATGCTGTACCAATAACAAAATGATCCATTTTCTTGGTTATTAATCTACTGTCAAGCTACAAGTAATTTATCACAACAGTTAAAAGTTTCGACATAGGAAGGATACAGATGCTGGCAAACAATTAGGTTGATCATAGATACATGAATTATAATTCCAATAAATTACTCACATTTTTTCTTTCAAAACTCACAGTGGAGCTTGACAATACATTTCATGAGACTCCTTTCGTCAGTACTCCATAATAGAAGAGCGAAATCTCTGCTCAATTAGAATCTCCTAACACTTCAAATTCATGATTAACTCTTAAGATCTTTAATGAGGCTATTCTACATAACTTCAAAAGTCACCTCCAGACTATAAGTCATGTTTCTAAATTCCATTTTCCTGCTCTCTGCTCTTGGAAATCCCAGTGCCACAAACTCAAAAAGCCATTGAAATCCCAAATTAATTTCAACAGCTAATTTATTAGTTCTTGATTTAAATTTGTAGGCTTCCTAACATTACATCCACATAATCAACAAACTGAAAGCAAGATTTTCTCTAAATTGTTCTTGCTGTTCTTGTTTGCAGTCATAAAGGTTATAGTTAAAGCACCACCAAATAAACTAATTCAATTCCAAACGAAATAATGATAACGATAAGAGACATACTAAACACAGTAAGATAGATAACGTCCACCTTCAATGTAAATGTCAATGTTATAAATGTAACATCTCATTTTGCATAAAGTTCCTGATTAATAATAACAGAGATGATCGGGCAGCTAGACTTACGCGGTGGTTTCCTGGCCGCCGCCTTGAGTACCGGTACTCACAAAAAAACCGGCCGGTTTTCCCACAAGTTTTCCTTCCTTCCACAACTGGCCAGTGGAGTCAAAAAACGCTTTCATTTGGGCCGCCATGCACCCATACCTCGTTGGAAACCCAAACAAAAACCCGTCCGCCTCAACCAGCTCCGCCGCCGAAATCTCCGGAATGGATTCATCTTTCGGCGGGGCTTTCATGCTCTCCAACACCTCTCTCGTCAACGTTTCGGGCACCCGAAAAAGCAATCCTTCCACACCCTCCACACCGTCGACGCCTTTCTTCATCCTCTTGGCCAGTCCCTCCACATGGCCATACATAGAATATAACACAATAAATATCTTCAATTTGGCGACTTCTGGTTGAACTATTGTTGTTGTTGTTGTGATGGTGTCGTTGGCCTGAATTTCGGAGGATTGTTCGGGGATTGGAACCGGCGGAGGGGCGTCAGCATGGTCGGCTTGGGAATTACTGGCAAGGGCAGAGGGGTGTTTTTTCTTCTTGCTTGGTACACAGCCTCCACCTTTCCCCATCAATGATTAGGTGATTCCTTAATGAGGACAATGAGAACCTAACGGTGGAGCAGGATTTGGAGAGAATGGAGGCAATTGTAGTTGATGAAGTCAGACGATTAATTTAAAGAGGTTTTTGTTTTTAAGGTTTGGTATGGGATCTTTCAAGACAGATAAGTTGCTGAGAAATGCAGGTTAATATACGTATGACAGTTCATAACACCGCACGTGCCGCCTGGTTTTAGGTTTTTAAACGATGTCGTGCTTGGTTATGACTCATTCACTCTTAGTCTTACAATTGTGTGCTTTATGAGCAATTTATTGATTATAAATAATTATTAAAATTGGAGATTCAGTGTATAGGGACATCTAACTCTAATTAATTTAATTTACAGGTGATATTATAGTATAATAAAATCAAGTTAACGACTTTTCTTTCCACCCAAACATGACTTAATGACATTAAATATTATTTTACTATACAAATTTATATTCTAGCGATAAACAAAGAATAACCTCGATTCAAGTTATTGGGGCTTCTGAAAAGAGAAGGCTAATGAGTTTCTTGGTGGTTAAATGTTAGATTTTGGTGGTTAAAATTGATCAAAATTTGACTTGGGATGGACGATTGTGCAAACCCTACTCATTCGATTGTCAACGATTGGCGAAATCGACAGGAGTAGAGTTTAAGCGGTTTTGGTGAGTAATGATCAAGGAAGAAAATGATGATGGTATAAGGTCGCAATAATGTTGGAATCGAAAACGAAATATAAATTTGGATAATAAAATAGTATTTTAAAAGTTTGTGAGTGGCAAAGTGTCATTCAACTATTATTTGAGTGGGAAAAAGTTCTTTTGCTCAATAAAATCTCTAAAACTTTGGTGATTAAGGAGATTTAAGTTTGGTGATTAAGTGATAAGAAGAAGGGGTTACTTAGCTTGGGATAAAAGGGTTCCTTCAAATCTGAATTTTGGACTCGCTATAAGCTATAGTCTAGACTCTAGAGAAGTGCGTGGACTGAGGCCATTCCCAAGAGAAAGAAAATTGGGCCCAAAACATTAAAGTATAGAATATAGATGAACATATATTATTTTTATTGTTATATTATATTATAGATATTATTAGTTATTAATTGAATCTGTGAGTGGAGATGAAAAAGATTTTGTAGTGAATCAATCCACTGCATTTGGATAATGAATACAAGCAAAAGTAATCTTAAAAGAGTCTCTTAATAATAATTAATGTGTTATATTATAGGAGATTTAAGAGGGAATTTCTAAAGTTTAGACGACTAAAAAGGCAATGATTAAAGTTGCACTTAATTATAGTATTGACTCCAGCTTCAGAAAAGCGAAGACGGCAGAAAATTTGGTTGCCCACCATTACCATCCACATCGCACCGCCACCAACAACATTGCCACTAATGCAAAAATGGAATGAGTCACTGCCTCTTCGGCCCTTGTCTGCTTCATATATTGGGCTCATTTTAAATGGCATTGGGGCCCATCCATATACGTTAAATGAGATTTTCCAAACTCAACTCAGTTTCTGCTATATGAGTTAATTAATTACGTCAATAATTCCATGATTAGCGCAAATTGTTTTGGCTATATGAGAACAAACCTTCTTCTATATATCCTTCACTTTATCGGTTTCTCAAACCTATTTTTACCTATTAAAGTTGTATTTAATTCACCTTCAACAAAATTCTTTGGCCCACTCTTTCTATGGCCTTGGAAAAGGAGAAGATTACTAGTAGAGGTGGGAATTTGGGAACTGAGCCTAGGACCGGTTCCAAAACCAGAACAGGCCCATGGAAGAGGGCCCGGGCCTAGGGTCGGTCCCTCCTTTAAGTCCCAAGCCAGGGATCGATTCTAGGCCCGATCCCAAACTCCCTGTCCAATTTT